CGAGCCCTCCCTTACATGCACTTCTTTTGGCCAACAGTAGCCCTATGTTACATCAAATCAAATTAATTACATGTATTAAAGTGATCTGTTTTTTTTTTTTTTGGTTAAACGAATTCAAGTGATTTGTTTGATCCAACTGGAGTTGTGAATGTGTTTGGAATGTTGTTATCCACCAAACGGACTAGGGGTCTCTTCCTTTTTTTTTCATCCCTTTCCCTCCACTTCTCCCATCATCACCATTCAAATTTTTTTATTAAACAATTTTTTTAAATAAAAAAATTAATGAATGGTGGAGATGGGGAAAGTGGAGGGAAATGGAGGAAAAGGAAGTGGAGAGACCCCACCTCCTCCACCAAACATGCGCAAAGTGTCTTCAAAACTTTGACCTAAAAGGCTCAAGGATTCCATTATATTTTCCACTTCTATATATATTACAGGTATCGGACAATAATAGATGTTTAAAATATTAAATAATATCAAAAAAATTGATTAACCATTATTGTTTCTGTCTACATAACTTTATTTAATTTTTAAATTTTCAATTAAACATTGACTTTTTTTAGTATTGTGTCTTTTCCTTTTTTTTTTTTGTTGGCAGTATTGCCGTGAAAAAGGACCACAAATAGTGTATTAAAGTGGCAGAGAAAATAGCAGAGATGGTCTGTCAGAATATTTGCAAGCGTTGATGACGCTATATGTTACTCAATTTGCGTTGGTAATAGCCTCCTTGTTGAAGCAGACACACGAAACCCAAATCCAGCGGAAGTTACGTAACAATCAAATTTGATCGGTTATTTGGACGGGGGCCTTTTTTTTTTTTTTTTTTGGGGGGGGGGGGGGACCACAAGTCTTTCCTTTGAAAAGCTGTTTGGTATTGTTTCCACCATGAATTTGTCAGCTTTAGTGATGCAAACACCTACAAAAGAGTCTGCCTCTTTAGCCGCAACTCTCTAGATTCTTCAATCTACATCCTGCGTCACTGTAAGAAATTCAGGAGTAGTCAAACACTCTCAGCTTATTTTCTTCTCTTTATCATTGCAGGACTGGATTTTCTGTAGCCAAAAATATGTTAGAGGCCTGAGTCTGAGCACTAGGGGAAAAAAAAAGACAGGCTCAAACTTTTTACTCACATTTGCAGGAATATCTAAAAAGAAAAATGCAAATTCATCCATTTTTGAAGAAGATTGAGATTGGACATCGACTGACATCAATAGTTCAATAAGAATGAGTTGGTGGTTTAGTAGAAATGACTTTGGATGTTTATTTATAGGTTCTAAGTTTGAATCTCCTAGGTGTGTATATAGAGGCCTTTTTTCTTTTTTGGTTTCAATCTGGATAAAATTACTGTAACGCGCTTAAAAAATGAAGAAGAAAAGAGGATCAAATTTCACAAAGCACGCAAAGCCTTCAATTTCTTCTCCGTCTTCATTTTTGAATATTCCAGAGCCAAGTGAGAGGAAGGGCTCAACCCCTCGTCCTTCTCCTCCAAGGACATACCCATGTTCATCATAGTGGGGGCAATTGCCCCCACAAACAGAAGGAAAAAATTACCTTAAATGATCCAAATGATTTACTTATCTCCTTATAAAATTTTACTTATCCCATTAAAAAATTTATTATCTCAAATTTTTTATGGTTTATAACCTTAACTAGTAATAGTTTTAAAATGAAAAAGTAATAATTTAGAAAAAAATTTATATGAAAAATCTTATCACAAAATGGTCTCTTCTACACAAAAGAGATAGATTCTATTTTATGAAAATTTTTAAAAAACGTGGTTTTAATAGATATGAAAAATTGTTTATTTGAAGTGAGTCGTTTATGTTATTATAAATTATAACGGTATGTTTATTAGTTGTTTTTTGTATTTAATTTTATTAACTTATACCCTTAATATAATTTAATAGAAATTTTAATTTTTTTATAAAAATATTACTATTTATATCATGTATAAATTATGCCCCCATTGATTTATTGTTCTTGGTCCGTCACTGTAACAAATCTCCTCCCCGATTTTTCGTTCGGTGCAACGACTAAGAGAAAGAAGTGAGAGACAACTCAAGATCGCCACCTCTGTTCACTGTTCCGCATTGTCCTTAGCGTCGTTAGCATGGGTGTGACAAGATTCCTCATCCTCCTCCCCTATTCTTTCTTCGTGCGTCGGCCTCTTCTCCCTGGTTCTGCTTCAAGTCATTGAAACTCCTCTTCCTCCTTTTTTCTTGCCGTGGTGTGAGATACGTCACAGACCTTCTTCTTCCTTTGGTGTTGCATCGTGTCGTGCTAGTGCAGTTGAGGAAGCTCAGACTTCTTCTCCTTCATTTCTCCTATGCTCCTAGGATGCGTATTGTTCCATTTTCTTTCCTCTACCTTGCAAGATCTATGTACGTGTGTGGGTGTTTGGGGTATGAAATTTTTGAATTTTTCTTCCTAGTTTTGTTGTTTTTCGTGAATGTGAGGAGGTGAGGTTTCAATGAAGCTAAAATTCATGCTTTAAGAGCACATCTTTAATATGTGATTCACTTGAAAATTCTGGTTATTATAAGAGGAAGATGAGTTGATTTTCTTCAAGCTTGAATTGGGTTTTCTTTGAGACTGAGATTGATTTTATTTTAGCAATAGAACTCAGGAAGTTGAATGATTCCCATAATTATATTGGAGACTTTTTTGAAAGGAAATTGAAGAGAAAGAAGTTTGGCATTATAGTTGGGTATTGATGGTTACAAGGTATTTGATAAAATGCCTATATGAGAAGTTTTGTTTAGTTATGTATTTCTAATATCTCATTAAATATCCTGAAAAATATAACTGACTTGGGTATTATTATTTTGTGAACAGAGCTTTTCATCATGAAAAATTGGATTATGTAACATACTTGGTTTGGACACTATTTAATTGTTAATTTAATTTAAGTTTTGCAAGAAATTTGTTGATTATGGTGCTATTGTGTAATTAGTTGGATTCTAAAAGTTGTATGGTCTTATAAAGGGTTGGATATGTAAAGTTTAGAAAGGATTGAAGAATCTGAGACTTGGTTGATTAAATTATGATAATTTAAAACTTCACTGATTATTGTATAGCTCATATTGAAAGATAATTTATTTAATTGGAGTAAGGCCATTAAATCTTCTTTTTATATTGAATAGGGTGTTTAGTGGAAAGAAGAGTTGATTGAAATTGTAAGAAGTGAATTGCAAATCTTGAGAATACTATAAGTAAGTGAATAGTATCTCAATGATTTATTAGTAAAATTCATTTTTCACTAAAAATTTTGATTGGGCAAATTTCTATATATGATGTTATGATTTTAATGCTATTATTGATATTTAAAGGTAGTCTAAAACAATGATCTTATTTTATTTCATTTATTTTTCAATATCTTGATTACAAACACCCAAGCATGAGGACTTGTGTCAATGAAGGTTTATGATTAACAATATTCTCTTGTAAATTTCACTATTTGAAAAATGATATGGTATTTGATTGATAATTGAATTCCATGCATGTTTGAAAATCTTTTAGTAGGATTGAATACAAAATATTAGTTACTAATAGCAGTCTTATTAACCCTTGGTGTGTTATCATTAAATCCTTGCTAGCTTGGGAACTGTAAGCATTGCACTCACACTTGTTATTCATGAGCTTGGTACCCCCGCTTGCTATTTGTTGGTTTTATATCTACACTTGTTTCATGACTCTTGTCACACTACACTTGATTGGTTACTTACCTTTGTAGACTATATGTCTATGCTTGTTAGTTATTTACTCTCTCTTGAATTATGTGTTTACACTTGTTAATCATTTTGATTAAGTCATATTAAAGAATACGTTTAGGAACTTGTTTTCCTTATATTTGTTATATCTTGTAAAGCAAACTGCTATTTTTATTATACATGAATTTTGTATTAAGTTACATAATTTTTCAAAGTTTTAAAGCATATGTTGAAGTTAAAAATGCAACTTAAATTTCTAATAATTTTCATTTGAATTCACACATTCATGATTTATACAACTATATAACTGTTGATATGTATGAAGCTCGTGTTATATTATTTGCAATTGATTATTTCATTAAATTTACAATTGAATTGAGATGTTATTCACTGAGAAGTTATTTTGGTCTCAAATAATATAACCATCCTTGTACTTCTAAAGGACCATTGAGAGATTTAGTGCAAAGTTGATTTGAAGTTGGCGTGCTATTCTTGGTTAATCTCCATTTCTTGTAAAACCTGAATTTATATATATATATATATTATTATATTTTATAAATTTTATTCTAGGTGCTTTATATAAACTATAATTAGAATCCCTGTTTGATTATCTATATTGTTGGTTTGTTAATAGAAGTTGAGCTCTTGATTGTTTTTGTGTAAAAATAATGTTGTAGAATTTTTGGGTGGCTTTATTTTTAGGGGAGGTTTTGTCAAAATTTTTACAAAAACATTAATTTTTTTTTGTTATTGTTATTCATACTGAAAATAGTTTGGTTGGTTATCAAATATCTTAATGATTTAAAAATTAATGCTTCTTAAGTTAAGGCTTTTGAGATATGGGTTATATTTCTACATTCCATGCCGATTATGCCTTATTTTGAGAGCATGACAGCAGCAAAACTTATGGATATTGTAGAAGTCTTTAATCTTTGATGGAATAACAAATTCTCTAAAATCAACTGTGCTCTACTTCTACTAAAGCTCAAACACTCATTAACTCCTAGTATGATTCTCTTTCAGATGCTATCAATAAAATTAGTGATTTAGTTATAAGAGACCATATTGTAACTTCCAATCACATTTTTAGATAAGCGAATCAATACACGGATTGGTTTGCTCCACATGTATTAAATGACAACTTAGACACTTGCCAATAATCTAAAAGAGAGTTATACACTAAGATGTTTATTAAACAAACATAATCTCAAGAATTAACCTTGCCAATAATATTGTTTCTTTTAATCAAAATCATTTAGCATCATGTATTATAAACTAGCTAATACGAATTCAAAGTGCTTTGGGGCCAGAATTACTTGAGGTAGATTGAAATTGATCAGAGTCATCACTATCGGTGTTATATATATATCCTTCAGCTTGCGAGGTCCCGTTCCTCTGACTCCTCCGATTGGTCTCTTCTTTTGGATCGTCCAGACAAATATTTCCTACCAAAGCTTGAACTACCTGCTTTAAGGGAAGTACCACTTTTCATAAATTTTGAATCGTAAATAGATGAAGTATTTAATCTTTAAAATTTAACAAGTTCTTTAAAATCTTTAAAATGTATGCATATAATAATCCATTGACATCCCATTCATTATTTAAAATTTTAATTACTATTTTTGTACCAAAAAATTTAGTTACTACATATTATAAGTGAAAGGTTATGCATCATTGGCAACGTGTACCAAGTGTTAAGATTGGGTATTAATATCATTGTATCTTCTTATAGATTTTATATCAAATGTTTTATCAATAATTTAGACAATTCTCTAAAATATTCAACTATGTATAGGAAGTTTTATAATTTGTATTTGACGCGCGCGCGCACACATATATAATAGCCCCATAATAGTACTTGTCAATTTATTAATAAATTGCCCCATAGCAGTACTTCATGGATATATGGGGAAAAAATTTATTGGAATAGCTTCCCCAACTAGAACATAAATCATCTGAGATGTCAAAAGATTTAAAAAGAAAGAAAGCAAGCAAGCCCAATTATGCATTTGATAACTTCTAAGAGCACATTTTTAGCCTTCACAGTGTGTCAACAAACCTGGCTCATTCGAGGACGACCACCAGGTGAAGAACGGACGCAATTTGCAGCACAAGAAACTATTCGAAACATCTCAGCAAAGTTGTAATTATTCTGCAACCTCGGATCAGCTATTCCCTCAAAGTTCCTATTTTCCATCGCTTCCGACAGTAAAGGTCTCTGTCATTTTCATTCGTAATAACGTGTAGATCCATTAGTGCACTACTATTTCTGATCATAAAATTTTACCATTTATAATTGGAAATTAAGTTATATATAATCCGATTATAAAACGCGTCGAATTACATAAAAGACCAGTAATAATGTAAGAACAATAATACCAACCCATTCGACCATACTGTCATCTGCCAAAATTTTACGAGTAGGTTTCCGTCCTGTGATCAACTCCAGAAGCACAACTCCGAAGGAGAAGACATCTGACTTATCTGTGAGATTCCCATTAGCTGCATATTCTGGTGCCAAGTATCTGTATTCAATGAAACGTACGGTATATATATATATATCCGATGACAATATCCATGTACGAACTTCATTGAGAGATCTAAAGAGAAAATCTTACGAGAGAATAAGACTTACCCAATGGTTCCCACTACTCGAGTAGAGTCCACCTGGGTATCAGTGTCTAATGAAAATTTGGCAAGTCCAAAATCTGCAACCTGATATTAATAGATTCCATACATTATTTCTTCATATGTGTGTGTTGTGTGTATTACATATATTATATTGATATTCAGGTGCGCTGTGGGAAGATGAACATACCATTAGTAACTTTTCAATTTACTATATGTTATTTGAATGGACTCCTTAGTGAAGGAAAAACATTTCACGCATGTGTAGAAAGTGAATTTAATCTAATTGATGTCTAGCTTTATTGAAATTATGGTTATATATGTTGGAACAAGTTTTCGTGAACCTATGGATATAAATCTTGCTTTTGATATCGAATTAATCTTTTCTTTCTTTCTTTCTTTTACTCCTTGTTGGCGAATGGGTAATCTGATTTGGCTTTGATTTTGGTGTTGATGTTTTGGTAATTATTATGATGGCGAAGAAACGAAGGACGGACAATGTCAGAAGGGGATTCTTATATATATATATATATATATATATATTGAGGGTATTTTAGTGATCCTTTACATTTCATTTTCCTATATCATGCTTCACATTGTCTCAAACAGACTCGTAGTGTTACATACATAACGATCAATATTTTATTCTATATACATCATCATATTTCTCAATACCAAATAAACATTTGAATTCTCTTGATTGAAAATAAATCTAATGTATTAGAACTTTATTTTGCACACATCTATTTGGGACGTAATTGCATGTAGAATAAGTTGATGCCTACCTTTGGCTCAAAATTGTTATCGAGAAGAATGTTGGCTGCCTTGATGTCACGATGTATGATTTTGGGTTGACCTAAAAAGTAAAAATTCATAGAGTAAAAAATGAACTAATTAAGATGTCTACACTGGACGATTTACTTATATCAAGTAAAACTCACAGTCTTCATGCAAATATGCCAATCCTTTTGCAGAGCCAATAGCAATCTTCATCCTTGTGGTCCAATCCATAGTTCTAGTGCTTTCGCCTGATGAACCATTTTACATAGACCCATATAGTATCTTAATAATGATTTTAAGAAAAACTCTGATCTAATAAATCATACCGTGGAGGTGAAAGTCTAGGGTTTTATTAGGGACAAACTCATAGACAAGCATCAAAGTCTTGTGAGATTCAGCAATGCAGTAGCCAACAAGGGAAACAAGGTGTCTGTGATGGACTCTGCTGATGACCTGGACTTCAGTCTGGAATTCTCGCACTCCTTGTTTGCTTCCAGATTTGAGTTGCTTAATGGCAACATTTTGATTGTTATTAGGCAGGACTCCTTTATGGACAGTGCCAAATCCACCCTGGCCCAGAAAATTTGACTCCGAGAATCCATCTGTAGCCCTTTCTAATTCTTCATATGTAAACGTGCTTGTTGGTGTCAGTCCTAAGGCAATGGAATGAGACATAGCCTCTTCTTCAGCCACTAGAGAACGTGTGGCATAAATGGGCCACTGCGCGCGCGCGCCCCCCCACGCACACACATTACTCCATTTTTTAATATAAGAAAAACTACCTTCTTTATTTTTATTTTTTGATATAAGATAATTTAGGTAAATTGGGTCCAAGGGCTCAACAATGCTAGCTAAGGTAGGCCCTTAAGTTCAAAAAATACTTACAGAAGTATTTACACAAATAGCCCACCAATAAGGCTCTCACATTGGTAGAGGAATTTGATCCCGGGATCTTGTAGGTTATATGTCAAATTTTTATCAATTGAACCAACTTTTACTGATTCTTTTTATTTCTATTTATAAACAACATTACAAATTTCAATAAACATTTATTACATTTTTTTTAAATTGTCCCTCATAAATACAATGTTTATTTTTACTAGACAAATTTGTTTCATTAATTATAGAGATAATTTAGTCCTTTTTCTTATTTTTAGAAATAATAACTACACTTAACCAACTTTTTAATACTGTGGTTATATTATCTTATACTTGGAAGAGAGGGAGTATGTAACGTTGCTATATTTATGCCTCCCCCACACCCATCAATTCAATTCAATATTTAAATACGTACTCTTTTTAAATGTATGAAGGATCCATTTTGTTTGTTAGAAAGAAGAAATAAAAGTAGAAATGGTATACCTAGGTGTTGGTGTGGTAGTGAAGGGTGATTGCTCAGCCAACAGGGTCTCAATAATCCCATCCTTCTCCTCTTTCTCCATATCAACAATATGACGCAAAGCCCCAGCGTCAGCATCGAACCAATCACCAACCCTCTGATCAGTTCGAACGACTTCTCAGGTGACGATCGCGCCGGCGGTAAAGGCAGTGAAGACCGGGGAAACAATGGCAGTGGCGAGGGAGGAGGTGATGGCAGGAGAGGCGGTAACGACCGGGGAGGGGGCACCAGCGGGGGAGGCAGTACCGGTGGTGGCGGAGGCGGTGACAGTGAAGGTGGGGGAGGAGGAGGAGGCGGCGGCGGATCGTAATCGTCTAATCTATAGGGGAGAACGGGGCGGCTATAGGGGGAGTCTTGAGGTGTCAGAGACAGTGAAGACATCGCCGGCTAAAAGAGGTGGAAGAAAGAGAATTATCAAGTCGGAAGCAAAGAGCTATGAGAGGAATCACAATTCAGAAGAATACGTGATCATGGAAGATACGCTATATGGTTAGATAGCTGGTGTAGATTGGCTTCGTTGACTTTACGGTTGACTCGGTGTCTCTCAAAATGGGTCCCGCTTTTGAAACCGGACTTTAATTTGCATGCATGGACTAAAGAGAGAACCGGGACTACAAGAAATGGTTTGATAAATCAGTCACTATCATAGATTCGGTTCAAGAAACCTTCAAAATTTCTGTTCATTTATGGATTGGAATCCAATCAATATTCTAGAAAAAAAATAAATTGGAAATTCATGAATATTAATTTTACAATATTTAAATTCCAGTCAATAAATTCTTTTTCCACGTTGTTAAGGGAACGAAGGAATGGGATGCTGTGATAATGATTCATTAGCTTATATCGTAAGGGAGAAATTTACATTTAAGCATCTAAATATATTTAGATTTTTCTTCCATGTATTAAAACATGATAATATTTATCAATTAAAGTTATGACTGAATTTTCCAAGATACTCACTTTATAAAATTTATTACTATGTTTTAAATAATTAGTTACATAGTTAATTGAAACAATACTTTTCTAAATATTACTTCTTCTGTTTAAAAATGTAAGGTATTTTTAATTGAATATTACCTCTCAATAAAGTAATTGCTTATCTTTAAACTAACAGAAGCTTTCCATATTTATTTTTATTTAATAGGGTGTTTCACTCAAAAATAAATATATAGTGATTTATTCATTGGCGGTACTTTTAGAAAAAAGGGTAATAATTGCACCTTAAAATGCTAAAAATGCCTTACATTTTTAATATTCAACCTCTCAAAAATACCTTATATTTTTTAGTGAATGGAGTAATGACTATGTAAATATGGACTCTACTAAACTTATTTATTGTGAAATTATTTCTTTAATTTTTAAAAATAATACAATCTAGTTCCTGCTACTAACAAAAGTTGACATTAATTGTTAGTTGATCAGAAATTAACAGGAAAAGATCAAAAAAATTATAAATAATTTATGAGGTCCTTTTCTATCAATTTATGGTCAAATAACAATTAAAATTAACTTTGATTAACAATAGGGCCAAATTTCATTGTTTTCAATAGTTAATCAAACAATTTGCACTATAAATTAAAATAATTCAGGGTATATGATTTTACTAGATCTAAAATTCAAGAGGTAATTTGCCCATTCATCTTTTTTTAAAAAAAATTTGAAATAGGTTTCTAATTGATACTTTGCTATTTCATGGGTCTTACTTGAAACATTTTTTTTACTAAAGCAATATACAAAATAATATTAATTTTATATATAAGTATTTATTTATAAACATAATTTAATTTTATTTAAAATATAGAAATAAAAATTTTAAAATATATGAATCGCATTGAAAACATTCAAAGAAAATATACACATCATAATATCGTATGTTGCACTTAATTGATTATAATTATGATAATAGTCAAATCGAACGTAATAATATTGAATATCATGTTATTACACATAAAAAAGTACACACGAACCAAGCAAAACTAAAAACTAAGAAACAGTGGAGGCACGCTTTTTATGATTTTTTTTATTTGAAAACATTCAATGTTATATACACATCATGTTACTTTTAAGTTTTAATTGATTATGATCTAGTCAGCATGATTGTTCTTAAAATTCTTCATCCGTGATTGATGCATGAGTCTTAGTTGGCTAGAAAATACAAATTTACGTTTGTCCGTTTCTTGTAAAGTTAATATCTGGACCACTTGACAACGATGTAATAATCTCCATCACCGCAAATTGTTTGAAAACAAAATTAGTCATTTTGGCAAAAAAAAAATGATTTACTTTTTTATAAAAAAATTATTCACTTAATTTCTATAATTTGAAATTAAATTTTGTTCATGAATTTTGACTCATTGCAATGAAATCTCTATAATTTGACTTGATTAAAAACTTAATTCATGAAACTTTTAACTGGTTCAATTTAATCTCTATAATTTTATAACCATTAAAAATTTTGATATTTATATTTTAAAAAATAAAATTAAAAGAACTAATGATGCGGAAGAATGAATGTAAACTCATCACTTTTAATCTTTTACCTCTAAAATTTTTCACACTGTCAAAGCAAAGAATTAAATACATCACTCCAAATGCTACCAAAACTAAATAACTAAAACTATATGAACTGAATTGCATTTAGTTAAAATTTAGGGAATGCATTTCAATAAGGTCAAAATTATAGGGGTTGGCTATATTAATTAACCAAAAAGTTCCTTTTAATAATTTCATTTAGGGTTTTCCTTTTTATCTTTCTACCCCTCTTCATATAAAGGTTTCAAAAGTCAAAATTACCTATCCCATCTTTTTTATCATTATCTTGCTCCAACACTTTTCCTTGTACGTGTCCAAATCTTATATGTGTGATACAAACGCTAGGGTTGTAACTGACAATTTGATGAGCTTGATTAGCTGTCAATTTTGTTTATTGTTTTTTTTTTTAAACTGTATCCTTAAATTGTTACATCGAGCCCTCTCTTACATGCATCTTTTCGGCCAACAGCCCTCTTTTACATACATCTCATGTACACATCAAAGTAATTCCATATATGATATATTAAAGTGATTTGTTTGATCCAACTTGAGTTGTGAATGTGTTTGGAATATGGTTTTCCGTCAAATAAGTGCAAAATGTCTTCACAACTTTGACATACAAGGCTCAAAGATTCCATTATATTTTCTGTCTTGTAACATATTTTGCACTTCCATATATATTACAGGTATTGGACTTAAAAAATTAAAAGGTTAAATGGCAACACATGTTCTGATTTTTTTTTTTTTTTTCAGAGGCACCTGACATCCCAAATTTTTTTGGAGCATTTGTGCAACGAAAGTTTCAAAAAGAGTATTTTTGTCTTACCATTAAAAATTACAAATATTGACTATTAAATTGAATTCTCTCCTTCCTTCTGTATTTAGTCTCCAATTTCGTTCGCCAATCAATTCTTTAAATTTTTTTCTTCCAACAAATGAAAATGAAGACAAAAAAATGCAGAAATGAAAGAGGATAAAATCATAAAATATCTTAATCAAACTTTAGTTAACGGTCAACATTTGTGATTTTTAATGATGGGTAAAAATGCTCTTTTTTTCAAACTCTAAGGCAAAAATGCTCCAAAAAATAGTTTACGATGCCGGTTTCCCTGGAGAAAAAGTTCTAGGGCATTTTTTTTCATTTAACCCAAGATTAAATAATATTGAAAAAATTGATTAACCAGTATTGTTTAAGTTCAGTCTACATAATTTTATTTAATTTTTTATTTTTCAATTAAATATTAAGTTCTTTTTGTAAATTTGTGCCTTTTCCTTTTCTTTCCGCCGTATTATTATAATAGTGCCGTGAAAAAGAACCACAAATAGTGTAGACGTGCTTAAAGTGGCAGAGAAAATAGCAGAGATGATTTGTCATATTGACATTGAAACATAATTAAGATGAATATTTGCAAGCGTTGATGACGCTATATGTTACTTAATTTGCGTTGGTAACAGCCTCCTTGTTGAAGTAGACACACGAAACCCAAATCCAGCGGAAGTTAAGTATCAATCAAATTTGGTTGGTTATTCGGAAATGGCCAACGTATGGGGAAAAAAAAACAAATTTTTCCTTTGAAAAGCTGTATGGTGTCGTTTCCAATCCAAATTTGTCAGCTTTAATGAAGCACAACAACAAGTATTTTGGACCATGATAGAGCTAGAGAAAATGGTGCCCACCAGATCCGAGATAGATGAGACTGGACATTGACTGCTCCTTGGCATCAACAGCTCTATCACTTGTGGA